TTGGGGCATGTGCCTTGGTTGAGGGCACATCCCCACTGGGGGGCGTGCAGGAGGCAGCTGATCGATGTTTCTCTCTCATCGATGTTTCTGACTCTGTTCCTCTCCCTTCTTCTCTGTAAAAAATCAATGAAATATATTTTAAAAATACTATTGTTCTTAAGTATAATAAATGATTGCATATTGATATGCCAAGTATTAATTAATGCTAATAGGACAGCTCAGAAAAATCACAACACGTAATATTGTAACAATTCATTCCATATTCTGAAACACAGCTTTCCAATTGAGTCAATATGACAATTTATCACCCCTCCTTTTTTAAAAAAATAAAAAGGAAAAAATCAGAATTTTAAATATACTTGTTCAATGGCACTATTTAATAAGTATATAGGTTTTTAAATAATGCCTTAATGTTTCAAAATTGAAATATCTATATAATTGAAAATGTACCTGGAATGTGTAGGGATGACTCAACAGATAATATGAGACTTTTCAATGATATTCTGAAAGTACAGCATCATTGATTTCTATTGCTATTGGTAATTCTCCATTCTCATATGTAAATCATTTACTTTCTTGCATCCAAATAAAATGAATTAACTTAATCAAAGGCAAATGTATAGGAAAAATAAGCTGAGAAGTAATAAACACTTGTCATATCCAGTTGTAAGTCCACTTATAAAAGTTTTGTGTCTTCCAACTGATGTACCTTCTGTGGAAATGTGCTTTATGTTTTTACTTTAAGCAAAAGTTTTCTTCCTTTTGCAATATCATTTCAATCAACTACATTAACAGATGTGTGTTCAACTTTGCTCATGTAAAATATGTCACATTTAAGAAAAGACTCTCCTTTCCTTTGGTTAAAACATGACAAGCACAGAAGAGAATATTTTGAATTCATATCAGGAAGGTAACATAAAATGTGCAAAATTCATACAGAAGAGTTGAAGTAGAAACATATTGAAATAATTCCCTTAAAATGACATGTGTTCTTAAAAATGTTCAGACACTGGCAGGATGTAAATGAGGATGTTCCTTGTATTGTTTCCAAAGAATATTAAACATCTTGGACATGTTAACATACCTGTGTTTGTTAATAAGGTAAGAATAAAATAATTTAGTCACATTAAGACAACTGTAAAACTATATTTAAAAAGTCATCCGAAATTTATGTACTGATACAGAGCTGAGTTATGTTCTCCTTGATTTTCCACATGTAGAAATACCAGATCCTGAAATGTGATCAATGTGGTTCTATCATCTCCTGTCCTTTGCTATGTGGCCCCATGAAACATTAACTCAAATCTTTTATGTACTGCAAAATGCAATATGAAGAGTGGAGAAAAAGTTAATTTCTCCATATACAGTTTAACAAGTTTTCTTAAGTATAAAACACTAATACATATAAATGTAGTTGCAATCAAAGTCACTTTTTAAGAAATTAATGAATGTTTAATTTGTGCTTGTAACTAATTACAATGTACTCTAGACATCCATGCATTCATTTGAATCCAAAGTTTAAGTAAGAGATACCAAATGTTACTTTATTGAGTAGGTGCATCCTTAAATACTTTATAAAGAAGGTCCAAAAAGCTCAAGTGAATCCTTCAGAGATTTATCAGTGCATAGCATCATTAGAAGAAATGGACATTTTTGACATTTAATATATTGTTTTACTAACTTTAAAAGCCAAAGTTAAAGTGATAAGCATGCTGAAATTAGTAAATGAAATTTCATAATAAGTTCTCTATTTAGGCTAAACAGAGAAGATAGTTTACAAATTATAGATATGGGTAGTGGACCAGAGAATGTATTTCCCTTTTACATTATAACATGCATTAAGGAAAGTTTTGTTTTTCTTGATTCTTTCTCTAAAACAGATATTGTGGCATTTTGGAGATAAAAATGTAACATCCGACCTTTAAACTTCTGTTTCATTAATGTAACCACAAGCAACAGAGTCACTGACTGACATGTTTGCACTTTCAGGCCTTTGGCTCTTAAAGTTATTTGATAACTGTTATGCCACTATCGCTTTTTATTGGAGACACCTTGAGGAATGTGTTAGATGAAAAATGGAGTATATTGTGTAAAACTTAGTAAATGATAAAATGTAATTCAGTAAAATATTCTCTTGAGCATTAGATTTCTCTACCTTAATTGGGGGCTGGAGTCTATAGTTGAGGGTAAATTTTTTTTATTTTGTTTTGTTTTCTATGAGTTACAGCATAACATCAAACACAATTCTAAATATCCAAAGCAAAAACGTACTATATAACTCTGTAACATTACTTTTGATGAAAAATATGTCACCTGACTTACACTCAATTAGTCTTTTAAGTTCTGTCTATACTGGTCTATGAACAGAGCCAATACCAGTTGCAGAAGAGGAGTAAAGAAAAATAACTGAGAATTTCTTGTAAATATATATGTAAAAACAGTTAAAAAATCCATGGACGATGTAAAAAAAAATAAAAATGGGATGCTCCCTAGAGGATTCTAAAATTACTATAAGCAAATTACTTTGGATAGAAAGTAATGCAGCTCAGATTTCTATTGCATATGACAAAAAAAAGGATTGTTTTTATTTTAAAAACACACACACTGTAATTAGTTAGAAATATCATTTAGAAAAGACAGAGATTCTAGTCTGTTTAAAAATGTTAAAAGTCCAAAGTTCCCTGAAATAGGATATTACAAAGTCAGGACACAGAAAAAAAAAAAAAAAAAAAAGGAGGGGGTGAGGTACAGTGCATACAAGTAAACAAGGACTGCACCACACCAACAGCACTGGGAAGATATCTTTCCCACTAGTTCGAGAAGCTTTAGTATTGAAGCAGTGAGCAAACTAGCCATAGGTCTCCTAGAAGCAAACCGTGGGTTCAGCTATTTTAATTAGCCACCATATTTAATAGATTATCCATTAGAAGCAAAATGCCAAGGTATATCCTCAAAAGACAAGCAGTCTAGCAAATTCTTTAGTTTGAAAATATTAATGCTCATTACAAATAAGCAATATGCTTCTACAAACATATAAATTATAACTCCCATTATGTATGTTTGCAGCCTCTGAAAACAGTGTGTCATCCTTACCGCTATTTTTCAAACTTTTAAAACAAACTTAATATAAAGAACATAAATATGGGCTTAATTTATATCCTCTATGTGACAAAGAGTTCATTGCTTTTACCAACAATGAAGAGGTATTTTACTAGGTTATTGAAAAAAATTATGCATTACTTTTGTATATGCCCGGTAACATTCTGTGTTTACAGCAAAGATAAGAAGATATATTATAAAAGCACATTACTAGTTTATATTAGATACTATAATAGTATTCCACACAAATTTGGACTCATTAGCATGTTTCAGAAGCTGTAAGTTATATACCACACCCAGATCCCAGATCGTTAAATTTAAAATATGTTACATGACCCAAACAGAAACATATCCCACTCTTCCACTTAGCCATGCCATGTATACTCATTCTGTGCAATCCACTCTTAAACGCCAACCACCACCCAGTGGAGAGAAAGAAGATCTTTCAGGCAGATCTGAGGTGTACATCAGGTGGGGGTGCCGGGGGGAAGGGAGGGCGATGGGAAAAGAAGGAAGAGGGGCGTTTAGCCTTGTTTAGATCTAAGTACTGCTGATCATCCATTTATATTTTCACGAGAGAAAAGGTATCCAGAAGCTCACTCCGCAGTGTTGCTTAGTGGTAGCATCAGGCTATGAATACTCATTAATGACAAAACATTTCAATGCTCAAGCTTGGGGGAAAAGGGGGGAGAAGGGAGAGTGAGAAAAAGAAGTAAAACTGAAAATTGAAGGAGGGAGGGAATAGAGAAGAAAGAGGGAATAGAGAAAATGAGACGAGAGAGAGAGAGAGAGAGAGAGAGAGAGAGGTTGTACACATGTGTGAGTGACAGCATGTGGAACAGTAGAGAAGTGTGTGCCTTTTGAACAGTAAAAGAGAATCTGAATGTGAAAGTGGTTGCTAGACCATGGAAGAGCCAATGTGTGTGGGGATGTGAAGTAGAGAATATGTGAAGGAGTGTGTTTAAGAAAAAGAGATTTGCCAGGGTGAGAAAAAAAAAAATAGTACTGGAGGGGGTTAGAAGGAAGGGGCATGTG